TTGTCCTTTTCATTTTATGCAACTCATTTTCATGGCAAAAGTTGGGAGACATGATGGGCTGGTACTATAAGTTCTAAGGATATAAGAGCTTGAAGGTGTTGTTCTTGGTATTCGACACTGCTTTGAGGTTGCAATTTTAGGCATTAGAGCTTTGTGATTGAAATCAATGAAGTGTTCATTTAAACATTTGAAAAGACAATTCATTTTTAAAGTATTAAATTTGTATTCGCCCTTCAACAAATGTAATTGTAATACATTATTTTTTTAACTTTTATAATTTAAATTATGATAAATTTTCTTTCCGTGCATCGCACGGGTACGAGTCTAGTTTATAGAATGTGTGAGCACCATTATGAATAATTAAATATAATACATGCAAAATATTAAGCGGGCACATTTCCACGCCGCTAATCTCAAGTGCCAAGGGTTAGTGGTTTTCACTTATTTTAGTCTAGTCTTTATACTCCTAGCATAGGAAGGCCTTAGAACATTTACCATCCAACCCAACTCTTGGGTCAGATATAATGGATTTGGTAGTTTCCTTTGCTTAGAAACTACAATTTCAGCCGCGTGGGGGGTGGGGGGACTTAAACTTTTATATGGGCATGTATAAATTGTTGTACTAACTGCTAGCCACTTAAAATCAACAAAAAGCATCACTATTTTTAATCATAGCATAAGTTCAGATAAGTTCACTAATCACTATTGATCCTCTCAAAAAAAAAGTACACTATTGATCACCTTGGACTCTTGGGTGTTTGTGACTTTCTTTTTTCTGTATAATATAAAAAAGAGCAAGCTGTTTTTTGAGCAAGACCCCCTTAAATCTTCTATAGTAAAAAAACCCTTACAAACTGTACTTTGAAGATTTCAGTAAGAAATGACACCCCATCCAATGTACCAAAAACTGTCCAATTGTAAAGCCAATAATTGAATTAAAGTTCAAAAATACTAATTATATACACATAATCCCGCCATGCATGTGCAACCAATTAAACTGGAAATTCAGACAGAGAAAAAAAATCCTATCAGAAGAAGAAGAAGACAAATAAATGGATCTTGAAAGGGTAAAACGGAGGAGCAGAGGAAGTAGCCACCTTCCCTTACTTATAAGGGGCGAAAAAGATTGAGAAGAAATTAAGCAGGATATTGAGGGGTGATGAAGCGTTAAAGTGTGAAGATGCCATGAAAGGAAACGAAATGCATAAAATAAAAACAATAAGTCAGCTGCAAATGGTTCTTTGACACTTAGCTTCTACCTATTAAAATTGGTTGTCATAAGTTAATTTCCACAATAATGGACAAAAGGACGTATGTTAACTCACACTTAGCTATTATAAGTCAGCTGCAAATGATGAAATATTAAATGAAATATCTTATTACCTATAAATTTCACTTGCCAAAACATTAATGGGATATTTTCCTGTTTTCACCTTCAACTCAATGATCAAGATTCAAGACATTTTTTGTTGTTAGATTTTAATGGGATAATTTCCAGTTTCTAGTTTTAGCATGCAAAGCATATTAGATTTTACAGTTATACAGAAAATGATAGGAAGTACTCTGCATTTGCAAACCATACTTGAGAACATGGTCAATGTGTGTGGTTTTAACTTATTTTAATTTAGTCTTTTTACTCTGTAGAGCATAGGAAGGCCTTAGAACATTTTCCCCC